ACGGTTCGGCTTATCGGCTATCGACTTTTAAATATATTAATCCGCTAGCCACCCGATAAGATATCGGATAGATTGGTATCGGTTTAGCTATTATTGTGCGGTTATCGGGCCACCCGATAATTAAAAATTTGTTTGGACTGACTACTTTTATTATGAGACCGAACTAAAATTAAATAGAAGGGCTACTGGAAACACCAAGTATAAATATTCAGGAATACATAAAAAAAAATCACTAATAAGTAATGGAAAAGGCAAAAATCAAATATGCAATTCTAATGTAATAAAACTAATACGTAGATTAAGCAGCAAGTAAGATGGGAAAAGGTATATTCTTTGCGGTCAAGAATCGGCTAATGATTAACATAAATCTACAAAAGCACAATGATTAACATAGATCACCAAAAGGCACAAACTAATGCAGGTAAGCTGAATTTATAAGAAACAAGGAAGGAGTAGTCACATCGGCCATCCAGATATCAATAGCAGGGTCTTCTCCCATACGCATGAGCTTCCACTGATCGCTGAGCTGCTGAGCTGCTTGTAAGAAATATCGGTCATTGGTCCACATAAGTGCTTCATTCATTGGTATGAGCGCCAAACCTATTCAAATAGCCTTAATGGAAACTTACAGCTGCTGCTCTAGCTATGGCGATAGGGAGAGAGCGAGTCGACGAGAGGGAGAGGCGAGACGGCGAGTCGGCCTAGGGAGAGGCTTGACGATGAGAGGGATGGCTGCTGGGTTTCTAAGGGAAATTAAGAATATGGTTTCTAGTCTAATAGAGTAATACAGTGGCAGTGGTCAGTGGAAGGTATTTATATTACTTTAATATACATATTAACATATGGATAAAAANACCGATAAGTCGTTAATAAAAAAAATTCAATTTGTTCCACATACGTTAAACCATTAACCCGATACCAATAAACTATTAAGACACTTATGCGGTTCAGTTTTCGGTTTCGGTTCGGCTTTGAACACCCCTACCGCACGTACCTGTTATACGTAAAATATTTTGGATAATTTTATTAAGTATCATTCTAAGGCAAACACATTATTGTAAGATGCTTTCTACTACAACCACATTAATATATTATGGTTAGTTATTGAGTTCTCCGAAGGAAATAACAACTCGTGTATATTTCCTTAAAAGATGCAATGACTATGTGGTTGCCGTATTAATATAAAATATTCAGATGTTAATGATATTTCTCCTTGAAGGATATATTTATCACAAAGTTAGTGGTAAAAATATTAAAATTCTTAATTTTCGTCATTTATAAATTTAGAATTAGCTTTATATTGTTCATTTGATTATGATTTTCTCTCATGA